GGGTATGGTTTTTGCACTCTAGCCTTGATATGGGTATGTTTTAAGAAGAAGCCACTTTTTCATCATTATCGAAAAGAAAATCAACAAAAACCCTTTCAAATTATGTTTACGGCAATTTAACATTGGTCTGAACTAAGGAACTAATTATAACGCAGGTATGAAACAGGTTTTGATTTAAGGGTCAGGTCATAAATAGGGTTTCGAATTTTTGGTCAGGTCATAAATAGGGTAGGGAATATCGCAGATTTTGGTCATAAACAGGGTAAGGGTTTTGGGAAGCGGGCCGCACACCCCCACCCAATTTTTCTAGGCGTACCCCCCCCCGGGGTACTATCACGGAAACTGGACTCTAAGGACATATTTCAGAAGACATACTTATACTCGTTACTCCTCTACATAACTGTAACAAGAAAAGTAAGACAAGTTCATAAACGGCTTTATTATATGGATACCAATGACATACCAGCGGTCCTTATGAGAGTAAACAAGTTCTCAAAAATAACAGGTTTTGCATGTGAGCAACATACGAACTCTCATATCTACCCCCCATAGGCATACAGCTCATTAGAGAATACTTTTGTTTTATTTTTTTACCAGAGAGAAGAGTTCGACGGTCGTTCGTGTCCAACCTTCAACTGTTCAAACAAAGAATGAAGAGAAAAACGAAAAAGATCAGAATAACGCGGGAACACCATGCTAATAACACTAAAACGACATGTTACACGCCGTGTGGTATGTTGTATCACTAGTAAAAGACAATCGATAATATGAAGAAAACGCAGGCTTTCTGATCCAAGTTATTTAAGAAATTGACGTCAGTTTTTTATGCGTCTGTCCTCTTATTGTTGATAAATTGCGTCATAACATTGTCAAAGTGGCTGTGTAAAAACGAGCCGCAGGCGAGTGGTTCCGTAGTAAACTTTGACAATGTTACGACGAAATTTATCACCAAGAAGAGGACAGACGCAGAAAAAACTGACGTCAGTTTGTTTTTTACCATAA